AAAACACTCAAATACAGCATCACAATCACATCATTATACACCATAGACACAAAGACAAACAAGCATACCAAATTTCAGGAAGGCAGCATTTGCAAAATAGGACGTCTAAATATGAGCACAACAAAAAGTGTCCAGCAGATGGCAGACAAGATTCTTCTTAAAGGGCTGTAGTTTTGAAATGGACTTTATGTTTTGAGGAATGTCATTCCATGCTTTAGTACAAACATAGAAGAAAGACCTCTGGCTGTAACAGTTTTTAAAAGTTGGTAATATCAGTTGTCCTTTTGTAACAGATCTGGTTGAATGACCACTTCCAGAATTTGATTTGGGCAGCAATGCACAGAGAGTTCCATAATTGGCACCTTGGAAGATCTGAAAATATAAATTAAGAATAAGAGATCAAAGAGCATCACGACGATTTCTCGGAGCGCAAGGCTCGTCGTCTGTCCTTCAATAGTGCTGAGTAGCTATTTCTTTGTGAAACTGTGTTTGTGAACATGTGGGCCGCTGTGCCAGTGTCTTATGGTGCGTTCACACCAAATGCGATTTCAGCGTCAGGAGCAGCAGGTTTACATACAAAGTCTATGGTGGACGCGCTTCAAGCAACGTCGGGAAGTTCTGCGGCGCCTCAAGCGCGATTAGAGCAGCGCGATTTGGACGATTTGGACGATCTGAGCGTCGAACGCTCAGATCGTCCAAATCGTCCAAATCGTTGAAGTTAGAAAATCTGAACTTTTGCAGCTCGACGCGCAGCGTCAACCAATCAGAGAGACTCCACTGTGTGACGTAGCGACATATTTCCCGACGGGACAGTTTACTGAATGAGGTCCACTAACCTGAAACAGACGGAGCTCCTGCTCTTTAGCTGAAATGAGTGCTGCAGTCGTGTCCTGATCCGCAGCAATGCGTGGCAGCGACTCATCAGACTGGAAAAATAGTCCTGAAAGCGAGCTGTGAGCCTCTACTCTGAATTATCTGGTGAATTAATTATGAATTAATTATCTGATGAACGTGACACGTTCTGGCTGTCTGTAAATAAAGCAAAGCCACTTCCTCGTCCGACATTAAACAGCCCCACAGAGGAGGGAGGGGCGGGGCGGCTGTCGCCGTGCAGCGCAGGTGTCCTGCGTCTGACCTCAAAGTGCACAAGCTTCAAACTTCAGCGTTGGCTGCGATTTTGACGCTGAAATCGCGTTCGGTGTGAACGCACCATTAGAAATAGATAAAGCTGGTGTGAAAATGAGCCGACCACTCTCCGTGGTGCTGGAATGGTTTTTTGGTTCTTGGTTTGTTCTACTTCATGTCCATTTGATGGACTTAAAAATAATATAGTCGCTCTGAGGTGCCGTAAGCCTTTGCTGTTGCAGGCATATACTGTATGTATGTTGTATAAAATGATGTCATCATGAGCTTTATTATTAGGTATATAAAGGGCCCGGTGATTTGGCCCGGCCTGGCTCTGATTTGTTCTGCTAGTGCGTGGAGCCATGTGGACTGCGGGAGGATGATTTTTGTTCTCTTTTATCGTTGTATTAAACCTAGAAGCAGAAAGAGGAAATAGCGTTGATGTGCAAAAGTGAAACCATTGTGATGGCTAACCCCTCACAATGGTTTACTACTGACTACATTTTTTCAGGCCTCGGTGGAGTCAACACCGAGTGAAGCCCGGGTTGAGTCCAGGGTTCGAATCCGCGTGGCGGTGATACGACGGGGAACTATGAACCCAACATTCTGAGCCCTAAGCCAAGCGGGCTGCCCAAACAAAAAAAGGCAGACGGTCAATTTGACCTTTGACCAAATGACATCATCACGCATTTGCACATGCGTTTTTTGTGCCTCCACCGAAAGCAGGGAGGACTTCCGGTGACTGAAGTGACCGAGTAAAAGAAAGCGGAGAACCATGTTCCTTTTACCAAATTCCTCTAGGAAAGTCAAGCAAAGCTACTAACTTTCATACTAAACAGACAAAAGAGACAACACCCTCCCACAACAAACAGCATGCTACTGGACAGATGAGAAGCTAGCTAGTGCAACAAAATGAAAAACTGGAACTGCTAGGCCTCGTTGTACCAAAGTCCACTGCATTTATTGACGTTTCAACCTGCCACATGCTAGGAGATTCTTCCTGCAGCCAACCAGATGAAACAACACGAGTTAATGTCATCAAACACATGCAGCTCTGTCAAAATGAAGAAACCACAACACAGTTATCCTGTATTTGGTGGAAATCAGTTTAGTGTGTAAATCTCCTTATTGTTCTTCATTGGTACGTTTTGACAGTGCATTTTTCATGTTTAAAAAAGTCCTTTAAGTTTGACAGGTCCTGACCAAGACAATAATAATTCACTCATCAGTCATTTGTCAGCTTTTATTAACTTTTTATTTTTTTAATCATAAGCATGTTTTTAGTGTGTTGACATAATTATATGGTATATTATTGGCCTTGCACATAAAGTAAGTCAGGACTGAAAACAGGAGTGTATCTGTAAATAAACTAACATTAGACTTGGCTGGAATAACGCTTGTATACAAAGATGTCTGTCAGCACAGTTCTTGTGTCGATGTTAAAAAGGCACATACATTTTAATCATTTAAAGTTTTCTCCCCAGAACATAATTTGTTTTACTTGAATAGCTCAGTTATAAAACAAAAAACTATACACATAAACCCCCCTTACAAAATAAAACATTTAGCAATGACATTTATAATAATCATACAAAACCAAATCAAACAAAAAATCAACAAGGTCTTTGGCTAATAAGTGCAGCAGCAGTCCCGCCTTGGCATTTTGCCCCACCACCCAGAACCAGACCCATTCAGAGGTATGAGTTCTGTTACTGAGCAAAACCAGAAAAACAGTAAAACATTTAGATCATAAAAACATTTGAAAGCTCCTCTGGAGGTTGTGCATAGAACTTTTTCTTCAACAATCTTTGGTGTTAAAGAGGTTGTAACTGGAGTCAGATGGTGACGTTTTAAACTGGTTTTATTGGAGGCTGGTAAGTTTAATTAAAAGGACCTTCTGCTGAGGGAGTCACACTAAAGACAGTCTGGTCATTTTTGATGGGATGTTCGTTGAATAATTATTATTAATGAGCTGGGACGTTAGGCTCAGAGCATGGAGTACAAAGAAAAGGGCAGTTTGTCCAGGACAGGTTCATGGCTGGCTAAAAATAATCTGATTTTTGTTTTTCAGTCTTATAATACAACTTAATCACATTTGTTCATATGGTATGGCATTGTTGAGAAAAAGCTGTTTTAAAGGGCCTGTGACATCAAATTTTTGTAATAAACATGAATGCAGTGTTGGAAAGATAACATTGAGAACATATTGCAAAACAAATTTCACGTCACTGAGATGAACAGTTGTTGAGATATTTGCATGTGAAGAAACAGGAAGTGATGTCAAAGGGGAATGTCTGCATGGAAACAGAGCATTGCTACAAAGCAGACTGTAGAGAACAATCCGATGTTTCTTTAGATTATTTTGAGTCGCTATCAAAGAGAGACAAAGAGTTAAAGTTTCAATAATTTTTTAAGAGTTCCCCTTTGATGTCACTTCCTGTTTCACTTTGGCTGAGCCAAGTTCAAAAGAAAGTAGGCCAGTTATGTGACAAAATGGGTTAAAAAATCTGTACTATGCCAATTTTCTTAAGTATAAAGATGTTTTCTTTGACTTTTTGTATTTGAAGAATAGGCATGTCACAGGCACTTTAACAAGCCAGAAGAACTCTAAACAACGAGCCTTGTTTGGCTAGCCGTGAGCCGAGCCTGGAGGAAGATTTCCCCCGTTTCTTCAAACTCTACTCTGATATTACAGCTGATAAGAAACTAATTACTGAGAACCATTGAACAGAACAACACCTCAAACATAACCCGACTGTTCCTTCAAGTGTTTCAGACGTTACTTTTTAAAATACACTCTTTTTGAAGAAACTTGCCTTTGGTGATTTCTTTAACGTGTTAAGCTAGCTTTCCTTTTTAAAGCTAAATTCCAGGCTGTAGCTTCTAAATTCAGCATGGCAGCATAACACTTCAATATATTACTTAAAACATCAAGTTATTACCTTACAGAGCACACATGTGCAGCACACTGCCATTAGGTGCATTTCAATCTGCTGCTTTTGGTCTTGAGATATATTTTGGCCAATTCTATGCAAAAGCGCTGAGTCATCCTGAATTTAGTGCCATGAATTCACAACATAAACTGAGCTGCTGGACAGCTGTTTGCCACTGGTGATTCCTATTGGTATAAGTCCAGTAGGGTTTGGAGAGTAGACCAGTTCAGAGTCTGTCTGGGAGAGCTCCAACAGAAGGTGGAGGAAGGAAAAACAGCAGGTGGGAAGACTAGGCCTCAGGTCTACAGCTGGTTTAACTGTAGCTGAAAGGATGACCATCTATTCACACTTAACTTGGACTCATTCTCACTTTTAGCATTACTTTAGATCTACCATGAACAGCTTTTGATCCATTACAAATAAATTATCCAATAACAAAAGCACAGGCACCTGGGATTAAGGTAAAAGAGTTGTAGTTTACCATCTTTCACTTCACTTTTCTTGTGTTTTAACGTCCCACATACTTTGGTCATCTTACACTGTGCTACCATCCCTTAGTAAAACACTGCATGAATAATCCATTCTAAAATATACCTAGTGATGTTTTTAGCAATTATCCAGACATTGCAAACTAAACTGACACCAGTCACGTTTGATTTGTCATTGTACCCTAACTCATTACCTCATTAGCTGCCCTACGTGCTGTCTCTGTGCTCTCTCAGCTCCAGTTAGGAAAGTGAAATCAGGAGGACAATAAAGTAAACAGGAGTGACAACCAATTCAACTTCTCCCTCAACATTTTCTTGCTCCTGAATAAAGCGCAAGCAGAAAGGTGCAAAAAAAATCACTGCAAGTAATTGTTATTCTTTGGCCTCATATATAAAATCTGAGTATTCAAACAGGAACAGTATTAATCTTAAAAATCTTATATATAAACATAAATATATCCATTAGTTTGCTCTTTTTTATTTATTTTAATTGGAAGCACAAAGCTGCATGAGCCAGCCGGCGTCTGATTGGTTTAGGCAGAGCATGGTCTGCGTTGGTGTGATTGGTGTACGGGGGGGAGTTCAAGGCTTCCTTATGTGTCTGGATCCAAGTGGCCATCATCTGGAATTCAGTCTAGGAGCCGTCTGCAAGAAAACCAACAAGTTGAGGTTCAGATGGACAGATGTACAGCATGGTCACACATGTATGTATGGTCACATACATACAAACATACAAAGGCTTGTAGTCAGTATTGTAGCCCAATGTGAGACCTTTCAATGAATCTATCGATCAATCAAAAATGTACATTCCATCAGAGCTTTTTTTGCCTTTAATTATTTTTTTTATTGAGAAACTTTCAGCCACAACAGGTAAATACAAAACAAATGAAAAATTCTAGTTAATGTATGTAGAGCTCAGTCTACTCACCACAGACAAGTGTCCATTCTTAGCCTTGGCCACCAGCAGCTGTGATCCTGGAGTGAAGTCTATGATCCCTTCCTTTCCTTGAGCCACCACAAACTTTATACTGGAGACAGAAGACAGGGACAGACAGTTAGATGAGGACACTTGGAGAAACATTTTGTCTGAACACATTTTTTCTGTAACCCCAGTGGAAGCATCCGCAGACGTAAACCACCCCGACTGATCAGGTCCGATCAACCACAATAAGTAGTCTTCAATGACACCTGTGTTTATAAGAGTGTAAATTCAAATGTGTTCAGGACCTCATGTTTTATTTCATTTATTGATTTTTTTTTATTTATCCTTTATTTAACCAGACAAATCTCATTGAGATCACAGATTTGTTTTTCTAAATACATTATTCAGACAAAATTTCCTGAACACTGTGCCAATCAGTGTTTTCTCCTGCCCCCTCCCGATTGGCTGGCACCTGATTGAACTCAGCAGGCGTCCTTGATGAGCCCCCGAGGGTTCATAAGGCAACACTTGTAGAGGTAACCCTGGTGAAAAAAAACTTTTCTATTGTTTTTGTCTTTGTCTTTGATTTTATTTTTTACACTTATAAGAAGAAAATCATTTTAAAGTGTTTTTATTTTCTTTAAGTGAATAGGACAAAGTCCTATATATAT